TCCCTGAAATACTTCGTTGATTCTGGTAGGGGGGTGGATTTGGAGTATAGAAGAATACTAGATGGATTGTATGAAGAAGAAAACAATAAGGTTTGAGTTCACTTGGATGGTCGTTCTGGGATTATACATTGTCTTAGTTAAGGTTTGATTGCTGGGCAGTGGTGGTGCACGCTTTTAATCCGAGCATTCAGGAGGCAGAGGCAGGCGGATCTCTGTGAGTTCGAGGATAGCCAGGACTACACAGTGAAACCCTGTCTCAAAAAACCAAAGAAAACAAACAAACAAAAACACCATGATCAAATGCAACTTGAGGAGGGAAAGGGTTTATTTTGTCTTAAAGTTAGAGATAACAGTCCATCATTGAGGGAAGCGAGGGCAGTCAGTTAAGTAGGGCAGAGACCTGGAGGCAGGAAGTGATGGAGAGTGTTATTAGGTGCTCCTCATGGCTTGTCCACACTGCTTTCTTTCTCTTTTTTTTTGGGGGGGGGGCGGCTTGTTTGTTTGAGGCAGGGTCTCTGTGAATCCCTGCCTGTCCTGAAACTAGTTCTGTAGCCCAGGCTGGCCTTGAACTCAGATCCATCTGCCTCTGCCTCCCGAGTGCTGGAATTAAAGGTGTGTACCACTATGCCTGGCTCACCTGCCATGAGCTGGGCTATTCTACATCATTCAAGAAAATGCACCATAGGCTTGTCTGCCGACCAATTTCAATTGAGGTTCCCTCTTCCAAAATGACTTTATAGCTTGGGTCTAGTCAACATCTTTGCTTTCTGGGTAGTTATGGAAAGTTATTATATATATGAAAAGAGAATCAAAAGGTCTCAATCTGTTGCTAGATTTGATGAGACGTCAAGAAGAGCTTCGGAGAATGGAGGAGCTGCATAACCAAGAGGTTCAGAAACGAAAGCAGCTAGAGCTCAGGTAACTCCTTTCCTTCTTGACTTTTTAATTTGTTTGGGGCCTGGCACGTGCCCCAATGTGTGGAGGCCATAGGACAACTTTCAGAATCAATTCCCTCCTTCCGCACCATGTGTACTCGTAGGGATTGAACTGCTCAGCAGCCTTGCTGGTAAGCACCTTTATCCACTGAGCCATCTCTATAGCCTTGTAACTCTAACCTTTCTCCGAGCCACTCCAAAGAGGAATGCTTTTTTATTTCTCACCACATTCTCCCTGATACATTCATGGTAAATCCTGGCAAGTGTTTCTACTGCTTCTCATGTTCTCCCTTTGGGTAGATGTTTTAGCTGCATTGCTTCTAGGAATTGCCGTAGGGCTCCACTAAAGGGGAAGTGCTGGGTGCTGGTCTCTTGATTCCTTTGGGTGTTGCCCTTGTACTTGGCAAGCTGTGCTGGGTTTTGGTAGGCTTGTCTCTTTGTGTTAATATTCTTCCTATTCAAGTAGTCTGCTCATGTTCTGGAATGCCTTTATCTGTCTTAAAATACCTTGGTGACTCTATAGGCAGGAAGAGGAGCGCAGGCGCCGTGAGGAAGAAATGCGGCGGCAACAAGAAGAAATGATGCGGCGACAGCAAGAAGGATTCAAGGGAACCTTCCCTGATGCGGTATATCACCCATGTGCCCAAGATGTGCCAGGCCAGTTGTGATAAGACAGAACTACCAGGAAATGTCTGTTAGAATATCAGGTTGTGACCAGTTTTTCTATGCTAGGAAATTCCATTTAGGAAAAAAAAAAAGACCTTGATAGGGAGTTAAGGTAAGGTTTGAAGGAGTGCTCTTGCCTTGTAGCAAATTTAGGATGAAAAGCCAGTACCACTGTTTGTTGTTCATATCCAGTAACAATGAGAGATAAATTGAGTCCTGTAGCAGATTTGGCTAGTCTACTGCTACCCATGTAGTTAGATGGTTTGCAGCCCCCAGAAGAAATGAGCTCTTTCTTCCCCCTGTTGCCTTGTTTTGTTCCTAAAAGAAAATTCTAATTTGTTACCTGAAGTCCCGGTACAAATGGCAAGAGGGCATTAGTGTGTCATCACTGTTTATGTTCTTTGTGTTATCATCAGTGGATTGTAATAGAGTAACTGTTGTCTTGGACTGTGTTGAGTGTGTATTGTTTTTCAGAGAGAACAAGAGATACGGATGGGCCAAATGGCTATGGGAGGTAAGGACTTGACTTAAGAGTTAAAAAGTTCTGGTTGCCTTTGGGGGTGATCTGCCTGTCTGCCTCACAAGGCCCTGCCCAGCTCTTTTTTCTCTCTCTAGACAGGATCTTACTATGTAGCTTTGGCTATTGCTGTTCTGGAACTCAGTGTGTAGACCAGGCTGGTCTTGAACTTACAGAGATCCACCTGCCAAATGCTGGGATTAAAGGCGTGTACTGCCATGCCTGACTTTTTTTTTAATGTGGGAGTCTAGGATTTAAACTCAGATCCTCACACTTGCAGAGCCTAATTTCTTTTTCTTTTCTTTCTTTCTTTCTTTTTTTTTTTTAAAATCTGATCTCTATTGAGTTATGGAGCTTCTACCTAGTCCACATTTAAATGATTTGACATTTCCAGGAACATTAGGGCTTTTAGGCTGGGAGTAGGGAATTCTACTGAATTGTTTCTTGGTAGGGGAAGAGACTGATAATCTCTCCCCTGTACTGATCATACTATTCTGCTTTAGGTGCTATGGGCATAAACAATAGAGGCGCCATGCCCCCTGCTCCTGTGCCAACTGGTACCCCAGCTCCTCCAGGACCTGCCACTATGATGCCAGATGGAACCTTGGGATTGGTAATAAACTTCAGGGCCTCATAATAACTGTAAATAGTGATAGGAGGAACTTCTCAACCTCTGGGGTCTGATTTTTGTGGATAGGGGGGGGGGCGCTAGATGTCAACTGCTTGTGTCATTCCTCAGGAGTCATCAATGACCCAGAACTTGACAATTAGGCTAGGTTGACTGGTCTTTAACACTGGATGCTGGGGAATTAAACTTGAAGGACAGGGACTTTACTTGACTAAGCTATCTGCTACCTGAGTTTACTTTGATTTTGTTACAGGTACAGATTTTTAGGATTATTGGTATACATAAAATATAACCTAAGATGTTTAGGGGTGGTGAGGATGATTGAACCCAGGATCTGATGTATGTTAGGCAAGTGTTGTCTCACTATTTCGTGTCCCTGGTCTTTTAGTTTGTAATCTTGAGAAAATTCAATACCAGATGCTATTTTAATCTTGGAGTTAAGCAATAGCCTCTGTGGCTGTCCCATTGAATGATTGTAAATCGTTATCCTCAGTAAACAAGTTGCTTTATGTTTGTTTTGTTGGTTTTGGGTTTTTGAGACAGGATCTCTGTACTCCTAATTGTCCTGGAGCTTGCCATGTAGAACAGGCTGGCCTTGAACTCACAGATGCTCCTGCCTCTACCTTCCAAATGCTTGCACCATATTGCCTGGGCAGCAGGTTGCTCTTTAGAGGGAGAAGTCAAGGAAGCTTAGATATTATTATGTATAATGGATGTGAATTCAGGGGCCTCATGGTTCATAAAGTTCAGAAGTTGTTCTGGTTCAAATGTCAAAATGGAATAGACTATGGAGAGACTTAAGGCTGCTACAGAAATGATAGCCTGTTCTTCCTGACTAAGGAAAAAGGACTTGGATAGAACCTATTCAAATAGGAATTTCAGTTGTATATATAATACGGATAAAAAGCTATATTATGAAGCTGTGACTAGTACAGCCTTCTGTTCCTCTCAAGTTTCTCCCCTAGAACTCTAAGCAGACTTGGGTACCTTCCCCTTAGCAGTCAGGAGTCTTGACCAGTTAAGTAGAAATGGCCTGTAGTGGGAAGACCATAGAAAAGCGGAAAGTTGAGGACAGACTCTTTATTGTAACATTGTTCTTTTTCTCTTTTAAGACCCCACCAACAACTGAACGTTTCGGCCAAGCTGCTACAATGGAAGGAATTGGAGCAATTGGTGGAACTCCTCCTGCATTCAACCGCCCAGCTCCTGGAGCTGAATTTGCTCCAAATAAACGCCGCCGATATTAAATAAAGTTGCAGTGTCTAGTTTCCCGCAACCCTTAAAAGAAAGGCCCTTTTTGGACTAGCAAGAATTCTACCCTGGAAAAGTGTTAGGGGTTTCCCGATAGATAGGTCTTCCCTGCCTGTACTACTCTAGGGAGTATGCTTGGAGGCAGAGGGCAAGGGAGGGGTGGTATTAACAAATCAAAGTCTGTGGTATATTGCTTTATCAAGGCTGTCTGGTGCATTCCCAAAGTGTGTTGATTGTTGAGGGACTGGAGAACCATAGCAAAATGAACTCAGAGAGCTCCATTAATCTTGACCATTCCCGTTTTCTTCTTCCTTCGTCCATCATATTTCATCTTGATTCCCCTCAACCCCAGAGACACTGCCATATATACCACAAAACCTAAACATCCTCCAATGACCTAGCCCAATTCCTCCATTCACTCCCAGGTGAGAATTCAGACAAATGTCCACAGAGGTTACAGCATACATACGGTTCTGTTATATCTCATATATAACCCCTTCATGTCCTAAGGAAGACATTTTCTCTTAGAGGTTTTCATTTTAGTATATATCTTTAAAACAAAAAAAAGTCTTGTGTTAACTTGCCTCCATCTTTTTCTTGGGTAAGAGGTGCTCAAGAATGAATGACCTTTTGTGTCTATGATGTTGCTGTTCACAGCTTTTCTTGATAGGCCTAGTACAATCTTGGGAACAGGGTTGCTGTGTGTTGAAGGTCTGACAGTCGCTCTTAGCCTTGCCTATCTTAGGTAGTTACGCTGTGCATTTTTTATTGGTGTACTATGTTTGATTTGTTCCTGATACCTTCAATTTGAAATTTTTCTGAGAAATGGAGCAGTAATGCAGCATCACCTTATTAAAATACATTTGAAGCCTTTTAATTTTCTGTGCTGTTTTTTGAAGGGGAAGGGAGGGGAAGAAATTCTGTCTTGGGAGATGCATACAGTAGACTGCATAATGGTGATCTTTGTTACCTTTGAAATAGTAAACATTAGATGGGCAGGAGAAGGTGAGATGCAAGGTAGAGTGGCTAGGATCAATGCTGTTGGTACTACAGGTAATGGCAGTGTCAGGCAAGCTATTCCAAATGCAGAAAATGGTGGGGTTATATCCATACCACAGAGGGAGGGGCATCTTCATTAGCATTTTGTTTCTGAGCAGCTGCTGGTATGTCAGAGGCTTGGAATTGGCAACATCTAAAACTGCTGTAGTTACTGACCTCACCCAAGTTCCAAGGGCTCTTCTTCCTGATCCCTTTTTCCTGAGCCTCAGAGCTAAAATACTCTGGAGCACTTTCCTATTGGCTGAGAAGACCAACTGAAGTTCCCTTGCCCATGTTTGGAGGTGGACGCCTCCTGCACTAAAGATAGAAACAGCTGGCTCTTCTAGGCAGCTAAAAGCCTCCAGACTAAGAGGTGTTCCTCACTCTGAAGCCAGACTCCTTGAAATACCCTTTGAGTAAGCTTGATCAACGCCTCCATGTCTCTGCTCTGCCATAACAAAGGCTGTGGGCAACACTTTGACCCCAATACCAATCTCCCTGGTGAGTAAGTACTGATCTCAGGGGCTCTTGAGTGGGTGTTAGTTGTTCAGCTGTGGGGCTGGCCGTTGGGAACAAGGAGAACAAAATGGGCATAATTTAATTAGTCTGGCAGATCTTCAGTCTGATGATTTTACTTTCCACATTATATGAAAAGCCATTAACATGAACTGGAAGAAAATGTGAGGGGTAGTATTTGACAGTTATCTTTCCTGCCTCGATCTTTCCACTGGTATCTACAGATTCCTGTCACTATCACCCTGGAGTCCCAATCTTCCATGATGCACTTAAGGTGAGGAATAGGTGATGTTGGCCTAGCAAGAGCATTTCCCCCAAGGAAATATACCCAGGATCTAAGCTGATCAGGGTCTCTTGTTATCAGGGTTGGTCCTGCTGCCGAAAGCGAACTGTAGATTTCTCTGAGTTCTTAAACATCAAGGTAAACTCTTTACTTCCTCAGATTCTGCTCCCTATGGAAGAGTTCTCCTTCTAACCCTTATCTCCTTATCTGTACTAGGGCTGTACTGTGGGACAACACTGTGCTGAGAAGCTTCCTGAGGGCCCTCCACAGCCTGAGGGTCCTGCCACAAGTTCACTTCAGGAGCAAAAACCTCTGAATACAATTCCAAAGTCAGCAGAGACCTTGCTCCGTGAAAGGCCTAAGTAAAGAGACCCAAGGCTTTTTTCTATAGCCATACAGCTTCCTAGGAATTAATGGCTCACAGGGGTTTGGAAACTAGGGGTTAGAGATGTGAGGAGGGTCATGTGTTGGTTTGCATGCATCTTTGTCATAGAGGAAATTTGTGTCAAGAAATGCCCTTTGCTCTAAGACAGTGAAAGGATGATGGAATAGATTCCTTTATTATAGGGACTAGATAGCTCCTGAAATACATGGTATATAGCAGAGTAGTGACTAGATAACCTGTGATTTGATTTTGTTGAGATAGGCTCTCTGTGTGGCCCAGTCTTGAACTTGATCCTCTTGCCTTAACTTCCTGAAGGCTGACATTACAAGTGTGCACTACCACACCTATTTGAGAATGAAGTGATATTTTTGTTGTGCATTTTTAGTTTTTAATAATCACTTTTTAGTTAGTATAGAAAATAATGGGTTTCATTATCAAATTTTCATACATGTATCATTGTACCTTGCTCATGCCTCTCCCTCCCCCGCACCTCTATTGATCTCTTTGATTTTAGAAGAACTTAATCTTACAGCTACGTGTTTTATTGGCTCATTCCTGTAATCCCAATACTTAGAATGCTGAGTCAGTAAGATTGCTGTGGATACTGGACTGACCTGGGCTACAGAAAATAAAACAAAAAAATAAATCTTAAATTGCTGGACATGTTGGTCTGTGCCTACAGACTTCAACACTTAGGAGGCAGAGGCAGCAGGTCTGAGGCTAGTCCATTCTATACAGTGAGTTCTAGTCAGTCATGGTTACCAAGTGATACCCTGTCTCAAAACACAACAAAAAGAGCCAGTAGTAGGGCCCAGCAGGAAATGATTTCTGACTAATACTGAGTTTGATCCCTGAAACCTACATAAAGATGCAGAGAAGTGACTCCACAAAGTTGTCATCCTCTGACCTCCACACATGCCAGTAATAATAAACACAAATTCAGAGCAAAAGCTCCATATTTTGTTTGAATTTCTTTTTGAAACAGAGTAACCTTGACTGGCCAGGAATTACATTTTTATTTATATGTATGTGTGTATGTGTAGTTACAGGTGGTTGTGAGCCACATGGTTTGGGTGCTGGGAACTGAACTCAGGTCTTCTGCAAGAGCAATAAAGTCCCCCTAGGCTGCATTCTCTGTCCAGCCCCTTAAAAAGCTACCTCTAGCCAGGTGTGGTGGTGTATGCTTTTACTCAAGAGGCAGAGGCAGGTGGATCTCTCAGTTCAGGACAGCCAGGGCTACATGGAGAAACCCTGTCTCAAAACCAAAAAGCTGCCTTAACATCGCAGGAAGTAGTATTAGCAAGGTAGGAGGAGGCTGCAGAGAATAATACAAGCAAGAAAACATAGGTCCACAATCAACTAGAGGAAGAGGAAGTGATATAATTCAGAGAAATGTGGGAAGATTGGAAGCAACCAACCGCAAAGGAAGCCCTAGGCCTTCTCCAGGGCTCTGAAATTTGAATGTCCACAGAGATAAAAATTGCCAATAGGGTTGTTACCTGACTTCTCTGAGCCTGACTCACTTTTGCCAGACTTATTTGATTCTCTAACTGTGGGTAGGGGTGCTAGAGTGGGTAATTCTGATGAAGAGATCAGATCTAAATGCCTGTTTATAACCTCTAGGTCAGAGATGCCTCCAAAACTGCTGCCACTTATTATATCTCAAGCCCTGGGAGTGGCGCTGGAGCAGAAGGAGCTAGAGCAGGAACCTGGGGCAGGTAGGTGGCCCTTTAATAGGACAGGTCTCAAAGACTAGAATTTCTTGTAAGTGCCAGTAGGGTGGGGGAAAGAGAAAGGTTCCTGACTGTTTCCTTTGCCCAGGACTTGACAGTAGTCTGATCTGGACTGGTTCCAGCTGCCAGAACCCAGGATGTGATGCTGTGAGTGAGAGATTTGGGGGGCTCAAGCATGTGGCTGAGAGATACCTGAGGGATACCTAGGTATAGGCATGAATTTGAATGACCTGATTCTCCTTTGGCCTTCTTAGGTTTACCAAGGCCCCGAGAGTGATGCTGCTCCGTGTACCTACCACCCAGGGGCACCTCGGTTTCATGAGGGGTAAGAGAAGGTACTGGGCAGGCTTCTTCCAACATGAATGAGAGTAAGGGCTTGGGGGTGGGATTCAAATAAATTATCTTCCTCCCTCAGGATGAAGTCTTGGAGCTGTTGTGGTATCCAGACTCTGGATTTTGGGGCATTCCTGGCACAGCCAGGATGCAGAGTTGGTAGACATGACTGGGCCAAGCAGGTAAGCCCCTCTGTTTACTAAACACTTGGCTAGGCCCCGATTACAGAGATAAGCTCTCCTAGTACCTCCTGGCGGGGCTCCCTAACTTCTTCCTTTAATACAAATCAAGATTCTGTTCTTTATCTCTGTATAGCCGAGTCTTGGCTGTATGAAATAGTATTTTGGAGGTTTCTTGTGTCCTTATCCCCATGAGACTCCTCCTGCATTAAGAGTTGATTGTTACCATCCTCCTGTCACATCTCTTTAGCTGCCAGCATCTTGCCGCCATGATTGGCACCAAACAGAATCCTTGGTAGTGCTGACTGTATATGGCCAGATTCCACTTCCTGCATTCAACTGGGTGAAAGCCAGTCAAACTGAGGTGAGAAATGATCCGAGGCAGGATGGGCTGAGTGAACTCTGGTGGTAGTGCAGTCGTACAGGGAGAAATGCATGCTGTCACTCTTTTTTTCCCCAAGACAGGGCTTCTCTGTGTAGCCCTGCCTGTCCTGGAACTCACTCTGTAGACCAGGCTGGCCTCGAACTCACAGAGATCTACCTGCCTCTGCCTTCTGAGTGCTGGGATTAAAGGCCTGCCCCCCGCCCCCAAGCTCATGCCATCACTCTTTAGGTTCCAGAGTCCCCTGAGAAGAATGGACAGTTCTTAGATCAGGGTTGGCTGGTTGGCCTGTGGATCTTGCCGCTGACCTGGTTCTGGAGTAATGACTTTTTCCGACCTTTTTAAATTGATACTACCTTTCTAACTCTTGCCTCCCAGCTTCATGTCCACGTTGTCTTTGATGGTAATCGTGTGTTCCAAGCACAAATGAAGCTCTGGGGGGTAAGTGAAGAGAAGTAGGCAGAGGTAAGGGAGGGGCCCAGGTAAGAGGAGGGCCAGGCTGAGTCGGTGGAGGGTGTGCTGCAGAGTTGCCATGGGAAACCAGGAGTTCTCTTGAACTGCTTTGATTCCCTCCTTCCTCTCCTCTCCCTCCCTTCTGTCTGCCTTCCCCATTGCATTTCTGCCTCCCCTTTCTTTTGCTCTTCTTATTCATCACCACTCTAACCCCAAGTCTGTGATTTCTTCATTCTTTCTGTCTTTCCCTCCTCCTTAGGTCATAAACGTGGAGCAGAGCTCTGTCTCCTTGATGCCATCCCGGGTTGAAATCTCCCTGGTCAAGGCTGACCCAGGATCCTGGGCCCAGCTGGAGCAGCCCGCTTCCCTAGCTGAGAAGGCTATGACAGGGCTTTTGTTAGAGATGGATGAGGAGGGATCTGAGGATTCAGATGATGACCTGAGCTGGACAGAGGAGGAGGAGGAGGAAGAGGAAGAGGAAGAAGCTATGGGGGAATAGGATCGGCAGACAGTTGAGTTTCAGGGTAGGCCCTCAGTGACCTCCTTCGAATCTCAGAGACCAGGATATGGTTGACTATGTGCTGTCATTGAGCAGCAGGAGGCTGGAGGAGGCGAGAACAGACAAAACTGTCCAAACTGTGCTGCTGCTCCCCTAAATAAACCTTATATTCTACAGTTTCACCAGAGTGTCATCTCTCACCTCATCATGAAAGAGCGCATGCAGCCCCACCCCACCCCCACTTGGCTGTGTGTTTGGCACACGTGTGAAAACAAGCACATGCATATGCATTCTGTTCCTCACAGCCACCAGGAACTTATGAGGACTTCCTGTATGTCCAGTTATGAGGTTCTTTACAGATAGCTGAGAAATGGGTTTGTTCATTTCTCTCAAGAGAAAGACCTGAGCTGGGCATGGTGGTGCATGCCTGTAATCCTTCCACTTAGGGGGTAAAGACAGATGATCAGGAGTTCTAGGTCATCCTCACCTACGTACTGAATTAAGAGGCCAACCTGAGCTACATGAAACCTTGTCTTACAGCCCTCCCTCTGAATAAAAGGAACAAAAAGAAAAAAAAAGAAATGATACTCTAAGATGGGTCTAATGTCTCATCCACTTTGAATCCCAGCACTGCAGAAGTTGAAGCAGGAGGATTGCCATGGTTTTGAGGCCAGCCTGGACTACATAGTGAATTCCAGGCCATCCTGGACTAGACTGATCTCAAAACAGACATTCTAGCTAGGTGTAGTAGCTTGTTCCTACAATTTTAGTAATCAGGAGGCTGAAGCAGGAGGATTGCAAGTACAAGATCAGCCTAGGTTCCATAGCAAGTCCAGAGCAGTCTGGATGACACAAAGAGATTCTTGGTGACCTTATTGCTTTTGCTGTGGTTTACCCCTACTACATATCAGAGTGTGTGTACGAAGGAGAAGACAAAAAAAGCTAGTGGGGTGTGGCTAGATTGAAAAGAATCCTAACATTATAGGTTGTTATTTTTATAGTCTTGCTATGTGACCCAGGCTAGCCTCAAACTTACCATCTTCTTGCCTCGCCTCCTCACTGCTGCAATTACAGTTGCAAGTCCTCATGCTCAGACCCAAAAAGTGTGGGATATTTTTCTTTATAGTGCTGGGGACACTCTAACGCAGGGCCTGCCATGCTATGCAGGAATTCTACCACTGAGCCACAACTCCTGCTAAAAAGGGAACTTAAAAGGCAATATGGGGGTTTGAGAGATGTACACAATGTGTATGCTTTTCCAGAGGAGCTGAGATTGATTCCTAGTGTCCCCATCAGGTGTCTCACAGCCACTCCAAGGGCTACAACTCCTGTGGCCTCTGTGGGCACTTGCACGCACATGCACATACCCACACACAAACGCACACATAAATCTTTTAAAATCTTAAAAAAAAAACTACACAATTGAGTGATGGAAAAAGTTTAAAAAAAACCCTCAGAAATAAGTAAAAGACATTATGGCTAGCTCACTGCAGCTACAGATTCTGCATTCATGGATTCAACAATTGTGAGTTGAAGATATAAAGAAAAATTTGTACTGAATGGTTATAGATTTTTCTTAACTAATAGTATAGAAATCATTTACAAAACATTTACTTGGTACTATATTCTAGAGGTGGATAGTTAGAGGAGAATATGTGTAGGTTATATGCAAATACTGTGCCTCCCCGCCCCCAGACAGAGTTTCTCTGTGTAGTCTAAGCTGTCCTGGAACTCACTCTGTAGAGCAGGCTGGCCTTGAACTCACAGAGATCCACCTGCCTCTACCTCCCAAGTGCTGGATTAAAGGTGTGTGCCACCACCACTTGGCTACAATGCCTTTTTATATAAAGGATTTGAACATCTTCCAAGGTTGGTGCAGGCATGGAGGTTCCTGGATGGATTTCCCTCCCTCCTGCTGACATTAAAGAACAAGGAATGACTGTATAGACCTTTCTACTTTATTTTTATTTTATTGTTCTTATTTTTTGGTTTTGTGATTGAAGCTCTCACTCTGTTGCCCAGGATGACTTAGAACTCATTAGATATAGCTCAGGTTGACCTCAAACTTGGAACAATCCTACCTAGGTTCTGGAATATTGGGGTGATAGGCATGGACCACCCTCCCCAGCTGAAAGTATAGACTTGTGATTTATTTTTAGTCTCTGTCAGCAGAACGGTCAATAATCTGAGAAAATTGAGTTCCAGGAAATAGGACTGGAAAGATGGCCCAAGGGGTAAAGACAGTTGCTCCACAATGCTGCTGCTGTTCTATCCCTGGAACCCATGATAATGATAGAGAGCCAAATCAGGAAAGTCATCCTCTGAGCTCCGCACGTGTGCTATACCACATGGGTACCTGCACTCACACATACAATGTAACATACATACACATACAATAACAATACATTCCCAAGAAACACCCAGCAAGGAAGCTCTTCAGACCTGAGGCAATCTCAAATTCTTTATTTCTCCTAAGTCCACCCCCATCCTCTTTCCTTCCTCTCTTCCTCTCTCCTCTCTCTATGGTATCATTATGTAGCCCTGACTAGCCTGGAACTTGTGGAGGTCCTCCTGCCACCACACCTGCATCATGCTCTTCAATTGGTATCTTTTTGGATCAGATTGAGGGTAGCTAGGATGTGATTGGGATCCAGGAGTCAAATGAATCGAGGGAAGAAGTGTGGACTGTAGTGCACATAAGGATTTGGAGGCTGAGGGAAAATTAGGGGATGGCAAGGGATATGTCTCCAAGGATGTAAGTTATACCCACAGAGGAATTTGATCAGAGGTAGAGATTTCCTGTTTTTATAGGATACGTATCAATTCTCACTGCTCCCATTCTGGATTCATGGGGCAAATAAAGTTTCTCCTTTGAACTAAAGCCTCAAGAGTCCTGTCTTTCTTCCTTCCATCCTCCTTCCCTTCTTTTTGCTTTCTTCTTCTGGGACAGGGTTTCACTATATAGCCCCATTTGAACTGAAACTGAAATTAAATGTAGACCAGGCTAACCTAACTCAGATGTCCACTGCCTCCTGAATGCTGGGATTGAAAAGGTTTGTGCCAGCATATTCGGCCAACAATACTTCCTAAACTTAGAAGCAGTTTACTCTTTTTTAAGAAATTGTATTACATTCTTTTTTTAGATGTGCATGGTGCCACACACCTCTAATCCTAGACTTAGGAAGCAGAGGCAGGTAAATCTCTGAGTTGGAGGCCAGCCTGGTCTCCATAGTAAGTTCTAAGCCAAGCAAAGCTACATAATGAGACCCTGTCTCAAACAAACCAAAGTAAAACATTTGATTCCATGTTAATTTATTTTGTGTAGAACTGCATCGGGTGGGGTAGTGTATGTACTGGTGCGGAGGACAGAGGACAACTGCAGCAATCAGTTCTCTTCTCCTCCACTGTCAGGCTTGGGAGCTAATGCCTTTCCCCTCTGTGCCATCTTACCCTTCTGACCCCCCCCCCTTTTTTTTGGTTTTTCGAGACAAGGACCTCCCCCCAAGCCAGGTGTGGTAGTACAAACCTATTTGTAATCTCAGTACTTGAGACTTTGTGGCAAGAAGATCATGAGGTCATGGCCAAGCTGAAGTAGTGGCTGACTTTGAGGCTACCCAGGGCTATATAACAAGTTCAAGGCTAGTGTTGTTTTCTTTTTTCTTTCTTTCTTTTTTTTTTCTTTTTGGTTTTTTGAGACAGGGTTTCTCTGTGTAGCTTTGTGCCTTTCCTGGAACTCACTTGGTAGACCAGACTGGCCTTGAACTCACAGAGATCCTCCTGCCTCTGCCTCCCAAGTGCTGGGATTAAAGGCATGTGCCACCACTGCCCAGCTTAGTGTTGTTTTCATAGGGAGACTTTCAAACAAAGTTTGAGGTACAATGACTAGAGAAAGATACATAATGTGCATTAATCTTAACTGTAACATTTTTCTATCTTATCAAAATCAGGATAACAGCAACTGTCCTGAAATCCTGATGAAAAAGGAGGTAAGGATTAAAAAAAAATCCAGGTAATTCTTATATATAAAGTTTATATATAAAATGCCAAATGTTCAATGTTAACGAAGTATGGTATTAGTTCATTTTATAAAGCCGAAGCCTAAAGTATAAGAAATCTCCAATTTGTGTGATCTGCATTTAGTAACAATAGTCACAGAGCTTTTCTGTGTGAGCATGTGTGTGCATGTGTGAGCATGTATGTGGAGGCCAGAGGTCAACATCAAGAATCTTCCTCAGTTATTCTTCACCTTAATTTTTTAAAGCCATTCTCTGACTGAAACCTATAGTTCATTGATTTGGCTAGTCTGGCTGGCCAATGAGCTGCCGGGATCCCCTTCTCTCTGTCCTTTCAGTGCTGGGATAGCTTTTGTTTTATTTATTCTTTTGAGACAAGGTCTGGATGTTCTGGAACTTGCAAAGTAGATCAAGCTGGCCTCGAACTCATAGAGATCCTCCTGCTTCAGCCTCCTGAGTGCTGAGGTTAAAGGCATGCACCATCGTGCCCTGCTTGGAATGGCTTTTACGTGGGTACTAAGGATCAAAACTCAGGTCTTCATACTTGTGCAGCAGACACTTTACCAACCTAGCCATGTCCCCAGCCTTATTTTTGATTTTTTAAAAAAGAAAATGTTTTTAGCTCCTAGTTCTAATAGTTATTCTGTTGTTTCTGCACGTGTGGAAAGGAGAGCATCAAGACAGGGAGGATGTGGTAGAGAAAAGATTATTGATTTGGAAGGGCAGAGAGAAGGGGATCCCAGCAGCTCATTGGCCAGTCAGCACTGGAAGGGCAGAGAGAAGGGGATCCCGGCAGCTCATTGGCCAGTCAGCACTGAAAGGGCAGAGAGAAGGGGATCCTGGCAGCTCATTGGCCAGTCAGCACTGGAAGGGCAGAGAGAAGGGGATCCCTGCAGCTGGTCCTGGCTGACCAGACGCAAAGATAAATAAGGACTCTCTAACAATTATACCCTTGAGGGCTATGACCTTTCTCCTACTTGCTCCAACTAGGCCATCTTCTGCTTTGCATCTCCTGACAAATAATGGCATGCATAGGTAAAATTTCTGATACATACAAACTAACATGCCAGGCCTCATGCTTAGGGCATCATCTCAACCCCTCATCTCCTTCTCTGAGGTCTACATTTGCTCACAGTAACACAAATCCCCCCCACCTCCTTTTACACTTC